ATCTGCCTGCTTCTGCCTCCCAAGTGTTAGAGTTAAAGGAGTGCACTGCCACCACTCTGAAATGTTATCCTTTTAACAGCTGAGTAATACCCCAGGAGTGTAATGCTTGTTTATTTTTTTTGTGTATATTTTTGCAATCTATTTTATATATATTGACAAGAGACTGTGAAATATTTAGCCATGCAGAATATGTGACCAGACCAGAGCATGTGTTGGAAGATTTTGGTGATCATTAACTCTACCCTGAAGTGATGGACTACAAATTGTAATGTGTGTTACCTACACTTCAATCAATAATATTAGCAAGTCTCTCCCAATCTGTAGGCTGTCTATTTGTTTTGATGACAGTGTCTTTTGCTTTACAGAAGCTTTTCAGTTTCGTGAGGTCCCATTTATTGATTGTTGCTCTTAGAGCCTGTGCTGTTGGTGTTCTGTTCAGGAAGTTGTCTCCTGTGCCAATGAGTTCTAGGCTGTTCCCCACTTTTTTTTCCAACTGATTTAGAGTATCTGGTTTTATGTTGAGGTCTTTGATCCACTTGGACTTTAGTTTTGTGTAGGGTGATAAATATGGATCTATTTTCATTTTTCTGCATGTAGACATCCAGTTGGTCCAGCACCATTTGTTGAAGATGCTGTCTTTTTTCCATTGAATGGATTTGGCTTCTTTGTCAAATATTGAGTATTCGTAGGTGTGTGGGTTTATTTCTGGGTCTTCTATGCGGTTCCATTGATCCTCCTTTCTGTTTCTATGCCAATACCATGCAGTTTTTATTACTGTTGCCCTGTAGTACAGCTTGAGATCGGGAATAGAGATACCTCCAGATGATCTGTTGTTATACAGGATCGTTTTGGAGATTCTGGGTTTTTTGTTTCTCCATATGAAGCTGAGAATCTTTTTTTCAAGGTCTGTAAAGAATTGAGTTGGTATTTTGATGGGAATTGCATTGAATCTGTAGATTGCTTTGGGCAGGATGGCCATTTTCACAATGTTAATCCTACCAATCCATGAGCATGGGAGATCTTTCCATCTTCTGAGATCTTCTTCAATTTCTTTCTTCAAAGACTTGAAGTTTTTCTCAAACAGGTCTTTCACTTGCTTGGTTAGAGTCACACCAAGGTACTTTATGTTATTAGTGGCTATTGTGAAGGGTGTTGTTTCCCTAATTTCTTTCTCAGCCTTTTTGTCTTTGGTATACAAGAGGGCTTCTGATTTTTTTGAGTTGACTTTGTATCCTGCCACTTTGCTGAAGGTGTTTATCAGCTGAAGAAGTTCTCTGGTTGAATCTTTGGGGTTGCTCATGTATACTATCATATCATCTGCAAATAGTGACACTTTGACCTCTTCCTTTCCGATTTGTATCTTCACCAACCCTTTATCTGACAGAGGGTTAATATCCAGTATATATAAAGAACTAAAGAAGCAGAAAAACAACAAACCAAGTAATCCAATTAAAAAATGAGGAACAGAGCTAAACAGAGAATTCTCGAAAGAGGAACATCGAATGGCAGAGAAACACTTAAAGAAATGCTCAACCTCATTAGCCATTAGGGAAATGCAAATCAAAACGACCCTGAGATTTCACCTTACACCCATCAGAATGGCCAAGATGAAAAACTCAAGTGATAGCACATGCTGGAGAGGTTGTGGAGAAAAGGGAACCCTCCTCCATTGCTGGTGGGAATGTAAACTGGTTCAACCACTATGGAAGTCAATCTGGCGCTTTCTCAGACAACTAGGAGTAGTGCTACCTCAAGACCCAGCTATACCACTCCTAGGTATATACCCAAAATTTGCTCAAGTACACAACAAGGACATTTGTTCAACCATGTTCGTAGCAGCTTTATTTGTAATAGCCAGAACTTGGAAACAACCCAGATGTCCATCAACGGAGGAATGGATACAGAAATTGTGGTATTTTTACACAATGGAATACTACTCAGCAATCAAAAAGGAGGAAATCATGAAATTTGCAGGCAAGTGGTGGGATCTAGAAAAGATCATTCTGAGTGAAGTATCCCAGAAGGAGAAAGACAAACTTGGTATATACTCGCTTATATAGACCTACAAGACATGATAAACATAATGAAATCTACACACCTAAAGAAGATAATCAAGAAAGTGGACACAGGCGAAGGTGATTAATCCTCATTTAGAAAGACAAATGGGATGTGCATTGAACGTATGACAGGAGTCTACCACAAAAGGCATCTGAAAGACTCTACCTAGCAGTGTTTCAAAGCAGACACTAAGACTCATAACCAAACCCTCGGCAGAGTGCAGGGAATCATATGAAAGAAGGGAAGTTAGTATGATATGGAAAGGATAGGAGCTCTACAAGGACCAAATATATCCGGGCACAGGGTCTTTTCTGAGACTGACACTCAACCAAGGACCATCTATGGATATAACCTAGAACTTCTGCTCGGATGTGGCCCGTGGTAGCTCAGTAACCAAGTAGTTCTCCAAAGTAAGGGGAACACGGACTATTTCTAACAGGATCTCAAGGGCAGGCTGTTTGACCCCCCCCCCCCAGGGGAGGAGCAGTCTGTTAAGCCACAGAGGAGGACTTTGCAGCCAGCCCTGAAGATACCTGATAAAACAGGGTCAAATGAAAGGGGAGGAGGTCCTCCCCTATCAGTGGACTTGGAAAGGGGCAGGGAGGAGACCAGGGAGGGAGGGTGGGGTTGGGGAGGGAATGAGGGAGCAGGATACAGCTGGGACATAGAGTTAACAAAATGTAACTAAAAAGAAAAATAAAATTAAAAAAATATAAAAAAATAATAATATTAGCAAGTCTCCAAATGTTAGCAGCATAGTTTGTTTCCCTTGTACATTCTATATTCATGATACTAAAATGCTGTAACTGGGTGGCCCTTTTTAAACTAAACATTATTTACAAAACAGAGGGTATTTGTTTCTAAAGCTTTTGTAAATAAAGGCTTCAGAAATGAAAAAAAAATACCCCATTGTGTAAATGTACCACATTTTCTTTCGTTTTCAATTGTTTATAAATTTATTTATACACTTTACATCCTGATGGTAGACCCTTCCTCATCTCCTCCCGTTCCCATCCTCCCTCCCACTTCCCCATATCCCCCCTCCCTTACTCCTCAGACAAGGGGAGCCTCCCCCTACCAACTCAGACCAGCACATCAAGTTGCCTCAGGACTTGGTGCATCTTCTTCCTCTGTGGCCTGGCAGGCAACAGAGCCCATGTCAGCAACAGCTCTCTCTCCCCACATGTTGGCCAAGGTACCCATCATCTACATATGTGTAAGGGGCTTACTTAGGTCGAGTCCATGCATGGTCGTTGTTTGGTGCTCCATAAGCCCCCTGTGCCCAGGTTGATTCTCTCTGTTGATCTTCTTGTAGAGCTCCAGTCTTCTCTGAGTCCTTCTGTTCTTCCCTCCATTCTTTCACAAGACTCCCTGCATTCCTCCCGATGTTTGGCTGTGAGTCTCAGTATCTATTTAGATCCAATATTGGGTAGAACTTCGCAGAGGACAGCTATGCTAGTCTCCTCTCTGTAAGCATAGCAGAGTTTCATTAATAGTATCAGGGGTTGACTCTTTCCCATGGGTGGATCTCAGGTTGCACCAGGCATTGGTTGGACATTCTCTCACTATCTGTTCTATTTTTATCCTGCACATCTTGTAGTCAGTGTAAATTTTGGGTCAAAGTGTTTGTGGGTGGGTTGGTATACCCCTACCTCCACTAAAAGTCCAGTCTACTTAGATGGTGGCCTCTTCAGTCTCCGTGATCCCTGCAACTAAGAGTCTCAGCTAGAGTCACCCTTATATCCTCCCAGGAGCCTAACAGGTTATAGGTCTCCAGCTTGTCTCAGAAATGTCCCCACCCATGATTTCTCTTCTCTCTGTAAGGCTTCTCTCCTGCTACCTTCTCTCCCCAGTTTGATATACACCCTCATTTCTCTTCACACTAAATCTTCAACTCTGTTCCTTCTCTTCAACCACTTCTGGTATCTATTCTATTTTCACTTCTGAGTGATAGTTAAGTATCCTCCCTAGGGTCCTCCTTGTTACTTATCTTCTTTGGGTCTGTGGATTGTAATATAGTTATCCTGTATTACATGGCTAATAGCCACTTATAAGTGAGTATATACCATGCATGTCTTTCTAGGTCTGGGTCACCTTACTCAAGATGATCTTTTCTAGTTCCATCCATTTGCCTAGAATTTTCATGATCTCCTTCTTTTAAATAGCTGAATAGTATTCCATTGTGTAACTGTAGCCCAATTTCTTTATCAATTCTTTGGTTGAGAGACATCTAGCTTGCTTCCAGATTCTGGTTATTACAAATAAAGCTACTATGAACATAGTTGAGCAAATGTCCTTGTTGTATGTTGAAACATCTTTCGGGTATATGCCCATGAGTGGGTCATGAGGTAGATCTATTCCCAATTTTCCAAGTAAGTGTCACATTTATTTCAACAGTGATTTACAAGTTTTTACTCCCACTACTCATGGAGTAGTGGTCCCCTTGCTCCACAATCCTCTCCAGCATGTGCTGTCACTTGAGTTTTTGATCTTAGCCATTCTGATTGGTATAATATGGAATCTCAGAATCAGTTTGATTTGCATTTCCCTGATGACTAAGGATATTGAGCATTTCTTTAAGTGCTTCTTTGCCATTTGAGAGCCCTCTATTGAGAATTCTCTGTTTACTTCTGTACCCCATTTTTAATTGGATTATTTGGTTGTTGCTGTTTAATTTTTTGAGTTCTTTATATATTTTGGGTATTAGTTCTCTGTTGGATGTAGGGTTCATGAAGATCTTTTCCCAGTCTATAGGCTACTGTTTTGTCCTATTGACAATGTCCTTTGCCTTCCAGAAGCTTTTCAGTTTCGTAGGTCTCATTTATTAATCATTGATCTTAGAGCCTGTGCTGTTGGTGTTTTATTCAGGAAGTTGTCTCCTGTGCCAAGAGTTCAAAGTTTTTCCCTACTTTCTCTTCTATGATTTAGTGAATCTGATTTTATGTTGAGGTCTTTGATCCACTTGGACTTTAGTTTTGTGCAGGGTGATAAATATGGATCTATTTGCAATCTTCTACAAGTACACAGCCAGTTAGACCAACACCGATTATTGAGGATTTTTTTTTTCCGTTATATGGTTTTGACTTCTTTGTCAAAAATCAAGTGTCCGTAGGTGAGTGGGTTTATTTCCGGGACTTTGATTCAATTCCATTGATTGACCTGTATTGTTTTTATGCCAATACCATGCAGTTGTTATTACTATTACTCTGTAGTACAACTTGAAATCAAGTATAGTGATACCTACAGAGGATCTTTTATTGTAAGACTGTTTTCATTATCCTGGGTTTTTTGTTTGTTTGTTTGTTTTTCCATATGAATTTGAGAATTGCTCTTTCAAGGTCTGTAAAGAATTGTGTTGGAATTTTGATGGGAATCATATGATTGCCTTTGGTAAGGTGGCCATTTTTACTGTTAAGCTTACTCAGCCATGGTCATGGGAGGTCTTTCCATCTTCTGATATCTTCTTCAGTTTCTTTCTTCAGATACTTGAATTTCTTGTCATACAGGTCTTTCACATGCTTGGCTAGAGTTATATCAAGATATTTTATATTATTTGTGGCTATTGTGAAGAGTGTTGTTGCACCAATTTCTTTCTCAGCCCATTTATCATTTGTATAAAGGAGGGCTACTATTTAATTTTGTATCCAACCACTTTGCTGAAGGTGCTTATTAGCTACAGGAGTTTTCTGGTGGAATTTTTGGGGTACACTATCATATCATCTGTGAATAGCGATACTTTGACTTCTTTCCTTCCAGTTTGTATCACTTTGATCTCCTTTAGTTGTTTTATTGCTCTAGCTAGGACTATAAGTACTCTGTTGAATAGATATGAGAGAGTGACTACCCTTGTCTTGTCCCTGATTTTAGTGGAATTGCTTTAAGTTTCTCTGAATTTAATTTGATGTTGGCTATCGGCTTGCTGTTTATTGCCTTTATTATATTTAGGTGTGGGCCTGGTATCCCCGATCTTTCCGAGACTTTTATCATGAAGGGGTGTTGGATTTTGTCAAAGGCTTTTTCAGCATCTAATGAGATGATTCTGTTTTTTTTTTTCTTTCAGTTTATTTATATGTTTGATTGCATTGATGGATTTTCATATGTTGAACTATCCCTGCATCCCTGGGATGAAGCCCACTTGGTTATGGTCGATGATATTTTTGATGTGTTCTTGGATTTGGTTTGTAGGTATTGAGCAATTTCACATCATTGTTCAAGAGGGAAATTAGTCTGAAATTTTCTTTCTTGGTTGACTCTTTGTGTGGTTTAGGAATCAAGCTGACTGTAGCTGCATAGAATGAGTTTAGTAATGTTCCTTCAGTTTCTATTTTGTTGAATAGTTTGAGGAGTATCAGCTCTTATTAGAAAGTCTGGTAGAATTCTGCGCTGAAATTCTGAGCTGGGATTTTTGGCTGGGAGATTTTTTAATGACTGCTTCTATTTCTCGACATGTTATAGTACTATTTAGATTGTTCATCCGAACTTGATTTAACTTTGGTAAATGGAATCTATCACGAAAGTTGTTTATTTAGATTTTCCAGTTTTGTGGAATATAGGGTTTTGAAGTAAGACCTAATGATTGTTTGTATTTCCTCAATGTCTGTAATGTCCCCTTTTTCATTTTTGATTTTGCTACTTTGGATACTTTCTCTCTGATTTTTAGTTAGTCTGGTTAAGGGTTTGTCTATCTTGTTGATTTTCTCAAAGAACCAGCTCTTAGCTTTGTTGATTCTTTGTATTGTTTTCTTTGTTTCTAAAGTTATTGCTTTCAGCCCTGAGTTTGATTATTCCCTGCCCACTACTCCTCTTTGGTGTGTTTGCTTCTTTTTGTTCTAAAGCTTCCAGATGTGCTGTTAAATTGCTAGTATGGGATTGCTTCAATTTCTTTATGAAGGCCCTTAGTGCTATGTACTTTCCTCTTAGCACTGCTTTCATTGTGTTCCACAGGTTTGGGTATTTTGTGCCTTCATTTTCATAGAATTCTAGAAAGTCTTTAATGTCTTTCTCATTTCATTCCTGACCCAGTGGTCATTGAGTAGGGAGCTGTGTACCCCATTTTCTTTATCCGTTCTTCAGTTGAGGGACAGCTGGTTTGTTTCCAGTTTCTGACTATTATGAATAAAGCTGCAATGAACATACTTGAGCAAGTGTCCTTGTGGTAGAATGAAGTAATTGTAGCTTTAATGTTTCTTATAGAATTGTCTTAGAGTAAATATTTTACAATAAGATTATGAATTTGTTAAACATATGAAAGAATTAACATTTTATAATAACATTTTAGGTACCACACAGTTTAATTGAAGCACTAAAACAGCATATAGCTTCTTTGGAATTGGAAAAAATGACATACTGTCTCCTTTTAGGTAAGCTAATAAATATCTTTATGTAGGCTAAATTTGCTTCCTTCTAAATAATTTCCTTCACCTTCAATTTTTAACAATACAAGACTGCCTAAATAAAGAACTGTGACTATGGTGAAATACTATTCTATTTGGGAAGGTTCTAGAAGATATATGTTCTTTTAGTCATCCTCATTATGTCTCATTTTTCTTTTCTTCACTTTAGCCTGAAGCATGCACTTGTGCCATTCATTCTAAATAGTCCAGTTGTGAAAGCTTCAAGAAGTTCTTGCTTTGCAGGCAATATGATTATGATTTGTTGGTATAATGTTCTTTTAGAATGTATACAATTTACCCTTGTTCATTCAAATGCTGATTTCTCTACCCCACTATCTGGTTTTAATCCGGACATTGCATTGCGATGTTTATTCTAAGCATCACCTGTATCAAGTTTGTGTAAACATGCAACCATTTGTTCTCTGTATTGTCAATAAAACAACCAGCCACAATGCTGAGCAATGGAAAGAATACGGTGGGACATCCTGGTTCAGAGGGGAGGAGAAAGAAGCAAGTGGAGGAGGAGCAGAGATTGGCAGGAGGGGATTTCGAACCATGAGGAGAAATGAACCCGACCTAAGATATGATTAAAAGCAAGTTTAATGGGTGAAATCTGAATGGTAGAAAACTACGCAGGCTTGGAGGTTTAGGATGCAATAACTGTTGCCCAGCATTGTGCTCTAGGTTAATTAAATAAATCCTGTATCTATTCTGACAGCCAGTTTTATTTTTCTTTTGTACATATATTTTCAATGGACACTTCTGCATGTTTTATGGGTAAGTTTGAAGAAAATTACAATAAACAGAGATTCTCTGAGTAAAGACACAGACACACATACTCATACACACGTTTAATTTCTAAAATAATTGACTGTCACCTTTTTCTGCTTTTGTTTTGTTTTTTACACTTTTTTAATTGTAATTTTTATTTATTATTATTATTTATTCATTATATCCCAATTGAAGTCCCCACCCTCAACTCTTCCTAGTCCCACCCTCTTTCCCTCTTCTCCTCATCCCCTGCCCCTAGTTCACTGAAAGGTCCCCCACAAATGGTGGCATGTTTACACAAACATGAGACAGGTGCTGCTTAGAATAAGCATCACAATGCACTGTCCAGATTGAAACCAGATGGTTCTCCTCTGTCATCTGCCCATAGCTTATCAAGTCTTATCAGTACTTATCCTTTTTTAAATATATATCCTTTTTTAAATATAATTTTTATTTATTACAATTATTTACTTTGTATCCCAGCTGTAGCTCCACCCTCATTCTCTCCCAGCCCTGCCCTCCCTCCCTCCCTCTTCTCCTCCCATGCCCCTTCCCCAGTCCACTGATAGTGGAGGTCCTCCTGCCCTTCCCTCTGACCTTAGCCTATCAGGTCTCATCAAGACTGTCTTTCATAGTCTTCCTCTGTGGCCTGGTCAGGCTGATCCTCCCTCAGGGGGAGGTGATCAAAGAGCCAGCCACTGAGTTCATGTCAGAGACAGTGCCTGTTCCTATTACAATGGAACCCACTTGGATACTGAACTGTCATGGGCTACCTCTGTGCAGGGGTCCAGGTTATCTCCATGAATGGTCCTTGGTTGGAGTATTAGTCTGGATTCTCTTACTCTGTTGCCTGGTAACGCTGCATCACCAGAGGCAAGTGATCAAGAGCAGGAAACCGAGTCTGTGACAGAGGCAGACCCTGCTTCCCTTACTTGGGAACCCACATGGAGACTGAGCTGCCAATCTGAGCTACATATGAGCAGGGGCCTAGCTCCTCTCCATGCATGGTCCTTGATTGAACAGACTTTTTTCAGTGCTTATAGCTTGAGAAACATTAGCCTTTATTTTCCCCCAAGATAAGGTCTCATATAGCCTAGGCTGCCCTAGAACTTGCTATGTAGGTAGCTTAGGATGACTTTGAATTTCTGAGCTTTCTGATCCCATCTCCTGGGTGCTAGGATTATAGGCAAGTACCACCTTGCCTACTTTATGTGATGCTAGTGGTTGAACCCAGGCCTTTATGCATGATAGGAAAGCTCTCTATTGATCTACATCCTCAACAACAGTAGATGTTTTAATATAGTTAATATAGTGGTTAAAAAAGCAACCTATGGTTTCAATTCAGGGTGAATGTGAATCAGAAGTATAGTGTAGAGGAACTAGGAGACACAGTTGTGATTACTAAGAAATCAAGGCTGTAGTATCTCAACACATACCAATTTTATTGCTACTTTAAATAATATTGAAAAGACTTTTCTTTATAAGTCAGTGATTTTAAAATACTGGGCATGTAGCCAGAGTGGCCTCAAAAATCACTCCTCACTGAAGAACCATATACTTTGGTGCAGATCACTTTGCCTCTGTATGCTTCAGTTTCCTTGTCTTTATATGGATGCTGTTTTTCAGGATTAGATTGGTTGCTTATACAGGTAGAGTGCTTAGAACAGACAGGCTGTGATCCAGATTAAGTGCTTATAGCCTCTAGTGCCACTTTCTAATTTTTTTCATTCTTCTCATATCTTCTAGCTGTTCACTCTAACTTCTTTAATTGTAAATCAAGAGATATGCGTTGAGTGTTTTGTTCTCTGTCTTTTGCCATAACTGAAAGCACTTATTTTTTTTTATTTTTTAATTTCTATCCACACTTTAGATATATAAATAAATAGAAATGTTTTCCAAATCCTGCATATATCTAGTTGTCAACTGGATTTCTCTATTTCTGAATGTTCTGAAGTGATCTTAAACTGGATTAATCTGAAATGAAATGATTCATTATTTCTTAAATTCTGTTGCCATTGGCTTTGGTTTAGTAAATGGCACATACATGGCTTTTTGTTATCTGTGAAATATTTTGTCTTATAGTTTTTTTATATGTAAAAATCTCTCTCCCTTCAGCCCAGTGTGTCACATTGATAGTTTAGAAACTTGAATATATACATGTCATTTCCTTTATTCGACTCTTTAGTAAAGGACAGGGACCTTATGTTCATTTCATGTCATTCTTGCCAACATCTCTGTGATACTATTGTAGTTTCACTTGAATGTTATATATGGTTGTTTTCATTCTCAGTAGTAATTCTTTTCCTCTTCCTCAGGCCCTAATCTTTATCTGGCCTATGTTTTATCCTTTATATCTTGGATTAACTAGCACGGACTAGTCATCTTTTCCACTTGAAACACAGTTTAATGTGGCTCACACTGGCCTCAAATTTGTTATGCAGTGAGGCTGGCCTTGAATTCCTGATCCTCCTGCCTCAGCCTCCCAAGTACTATGATAACAGTCTGCACTACAATGTGTGGCAAGTAATCACAATTGATTCCCTAAATGAAGTAAATTTCTCTAATATATCATAAGGGATCTGGCACTTTTCCATTTATAATATTTAAATTTTTTCAGATCAAACAATAAAAAAATGAGGTAGACACCAAATTTATGTTAGTAACCATATTTTCAGCTCTATATAGAAGTCATCTAATATTCATTGGGATAATCTATTGAATTACTGCTTCTTCCATATCTACTGCAGGCCATTCTTTGTGCAGCATAATGACCTTATTGATGCTACATCACATCTGTTCTCTGTATGAAATTGGACTGAAATGATGGCCTCAGAATAAAAGCCAGAATCCCTTAAAAGGCCCTCAATGATCTGGCAACACTTATGCCACTCTTGCCTTTATTATTATTTTTTTTTTTATTTTGCAATTCCAGGCAGTTTTTTCCTCTCTGTTCTTTATATCATATATATTCTTTCCTCACAGTTCATTACTCATGCTTCTGTTATTCACTGCCTCATATTCTTTGTCTTTGACTTACAACAACCCTGCTCAGGCATTTCTATATAAAATTTCAATTATGTCATGCACTAAAATTATGTAAAACAAAACTTAGAAATACATGAATAACTTGATAAATTACCACTATAATGAGTTATTTCAAACAACACCTCTCAATACTGGACAGATCCCAAACCTGTGAGAAATTTTCAAAGCTATAGGTACGTGCTATCAAGCCAGAAAACCTGAATTCAATCTCCAGAGCTAACCTATCAGGAGGAGACAACTGACTCACTGTAAGTTGTCTTCTGCCCTCCACACACGTGCCATGCACACATGCATGCACTCCCCTAAATGAATGAATGCATAATTAAAAAGCCATATCATCTCCCATTCCTTGATGTTCTTTTCTTTACCACTTATCACTAACATTACCAAATGTTTTTTCTGTTATTTTCTGTCTCAAAAAAAAAGTGAAACTGTAAGAAGGTGCAACTTTTTATTCTTTCATTTATTTTGCTCACTGTCGTGCCTTCAACATATAATACAGTGTTTGTCATGTAACAAATACTTGATGAAATTTATGTAATAAATAACTAAATATCTCTCTATTAGTACTCAATGATCACTTGACATTGCTGTATTTACACTCATTTAGTGTGTTTTTATTCTTTCTCTTATTTTCTGGTTATTTTGTCCACATGATTTGTTACAAATACCATTCACAACCTTGTAAATCTGTTAGAGACAAACAGCAAGTAAATCAGTCACAGCAAAGAATCTGGTTGGCTCCCTTGTAGGAAGTAATTGTTTTTTGGTTTGTTTGTTTTTAAGACAAAGTCTTACTGTGTGCTTGTGGCTGGCTTGGAATGTAGATCCACCTGTGTCTGCCTCCGTTTTAAGTGCTGAGATTAGATGCATGTGCCACCATGCCCAGCTGTAAGCATTTATGTTTACAATGAATATTTTGATGAATTTAGAGTATGTATACAAAACAATGTAAAATTTGTGTTTGTTTCATGAAACAGATCATAACTTTGGAGAAAGTTCCATTAATGAATAAGTTTTTATTATTCAAAAACATATGTATTACAGAAAAAGGCAACAACTAGAAAAGAATTTTCAAGTTAGGTACAAATTTTTTAGAAAGCTGTTTGTTATCTACTATTTCAACTTTTATGAGTAATTCATAGATTTCTTCCTATGCTCTCATAATCCCTTTCAGTTCATCTGAATGATATAAACTGTCAAAGTATGTTTTAGATATTGACATTATTCATTATTCTTTATATCCTTAATTCCTTTGTTTTGTAGCATAAATTATATTAAATTAATGATTCTTATTTTTGCCTGTAGTTTTTTCTTTTTTCCAAATTTTTATTTTTATATTAATTACAGTTTATTCACTTTGTATCCCAGCTGTAGCCCCCTCCCTAATTCTCTCCCAATCCCCACCCACCCTCATCTCCTCCCTGCCCCTCTCTAAGTCCATTGATAGGGAAGATACTCCTCCCCTTCCATTGGACCCACTCAAGCAAAGACAATAACATTATTAGCTGGAACTCCTGAAGTTCATAAGACAAACAATGTTACTTCAAAGAGTAAACCCCTAAAATTTCAGTCAAAACCATCTAGTAAATGAAACTGAAGTAAGGGAGATAATTAACAACTAATAATATGAGATGTAAGATTCAAGACAAGCTAAGGAGACTAAACAGGATAAAGAGGACTATCACATAATAATAAAATACAGTATTTCTGAAGATATAAAAGTATTAATTCCATATTCACCAAGTTATACATATATAGTAAAATTATTATTATAAACACATGAAGAACTTGAGAAAATAAAATTATAACGGGAATTTCAAACTGCCTTTTATGAACAGATCTAAAAGATTAT